GGAAACTCAATGAAGCTATATCAAAACAGTCTCAAACAGAATGTGTCTTACCAAGGAATGCACCAAGTCAGTCCCTTCAGTCAAGGAGTGCAAGCTCCAGCGTCCACAAACATCATACAAAGCATCATACAAACCGTCATGAATCATGAGGCATAGGCAGCTGAGCAATAGTCATCAATTGGGATGAAGCCAACTTTAGCCCGCCTCCCCCCCAAGCCACGGCATTGCCAGAGATCATGAGATCTAAAAGCCCATGGAGGCGTGGAGTGCTCAGCCTTGGCTTCAGGCAAGCTCATCCAAACTCAAGAGGTCTTGACATCTTGAAGATCTTGAGTTTCCTCCAGGATTGGCAAGCTGCTTTGAAAGAGCTAAGGCTTGCAAAGACTCTCTGCACAAATGCAATCGTCCAAAGGCAAACTTTGCCAGTCATCGCGGATAGCCTGTCTTTGTGCGTTTTGCTCCCAATACATTGAAGGCTCCGGCAAGTGGTCCACGACCAAGTGGTGCACTGGGGCCTGCATTGTGGCAGCCCAGCAATGTTATGTGAAAGTGTCTCAACTGAGAAGCCAAATTCAGCCGAGGTTCACCAAAAAGGAAGGACATGGACCGTGTGACACATGTCAACATAGACCTATGATCCATAGCTACCCTTCGAGCTACAGGGAAATAGTCCATCGCGACTCTCCCTCAGATTCAGTATATTCAGTATGGATCAGAATGGGACCAATAAGGGAGAAAACCTACACATGCGAGGTTCTTCAACACATTTTGAAACCAAACGGAACGAGCATGATCAGGCATTTTGTTTCACTGTCATGTTTTAAAACTGATAAATTGAGTTTGAATTCACCTGCTCTGCCAATAAGATTCGATTCCCCGGAACCATAGTCCTGTTTTCAACTTCGACCCCACTCTTCCAAATCTTCCAAGCTGTTCTCCTGCGACTTCTCATGTCCGCGCCAGGATTGTGTCCTGCTTGGGAGCCATCAAAACGATTCAATGGCTACCGGACATTGTGACATTCTTCGGCTCAACAAACCGTGAAACATCCAAAAGTCTTGCTGGTCTAAGCACAATGGTCCGAATCTTGCATATGTCCAGACTCTAGACAGAAAATATATATGCAGAAGATTGCTGAATTTGACACGCATTTGGATACACGTTGACTGTCACTCCTTTGCAAAAAGCTTTCGAGTATTCTTGCCAGCTCGGAGTTCTCAAGGCCTCAAAGGATGTGTTTGCTCTTGTCGTGAAGATACAGTATATATATATATAGTCCTCCGGACGAATCGAATTGTTATGTGAATCAATATTCAACAAATCCAAAAATATGTGTTAGATATATAAACATCAATACTACAGTGTATATACACTATTATTACATATTGCTACTATTACTATTACTACTACTATATATATTACTATTGCTATTGCTATTACTATTGCTGTACATTCCTACTACTATATATTATATATATATATTATATGTTTCAATATATTATCTCCAGAAGGGGTGGCCATGGGGCCTGGGTTTTGGAATTCTGTATTTGTAGATAGAGAGAGCAGGAACAGATTATGTGTGTTTATATGGAGAGCGGCTGCACTGAAGCATTTACCTACATTTTTTGGAAAACCAAAACCCAGGCCCCATGACCACCCGCCATGGGGCCTGGGTTTTGGTTTTCCATACATTTTCATAAATATTAGGTAAATGCATCAGTGCCACAATCAAAACCAAAAAACACTGATAAATATGCATAAAGGATAAACAAACACATAAGAAAAAACAAAAAGAACTAAAAACCATGGGAAAACGGACTCCCCAAAATCAGAAAAACCAAAAAACCAAAAAAACATTGGGAAAACCAACAAAACCAAAAAAACAAAAAAACAATTCTCAGAGACTCTTGGCTGGACCCCCTTTTCCTCAAGACTTCCCCAGAATTGTTTTTTTTGTTTTTTTTGGTTTTCCCAAGGTTTTTTGGTTTTCTGATTCTTCTGATTTTGGGGGGTCCAAGCAAGAGTCTCTCAGAATTGTTTTTGTGTTTTTTGTGTTTTCTCAAGGTTTTTTGGTTTAGCATCTGAACTTACTTCTCACCTCAAGGCATCTGTTCTTTTCTTCTGGTATAGATAATATTTCGATATTACTATCATACGAGTTAATTGGTATTATCAGTTATTATAATCATTATTAATACAATTTGTCAGCCTGTTCCCTCGTAGAGTAAACCGGGGACTCCATTCACCAACCATCCGTACAAGGATTACAAATTCAACGGAAAGAAACAACACTTCTGTGCGGGTCAAGGAGCGCCTGCGGCGAATTGAAGGAATAAAACGAAAACTGTTCTTGTTCACAATTAATCAACATCAGCATGGCGTCTTGGTTGGAAGTCTGTCGCAATCACGAATCGAACGTCAATGGAAAGAACACATTGTGGTTTCTTCCATCGTCTCCTGAAAAGGCCAAGGGGCCAAGTTAAGACAAAACTCATTGACATGAAGGAAGTCCAAATGTCCAACCAAGTAAAACACGTGCATCATTACGCGCGGCGCTTCTGGCATGCACGGTTGCATGTTCGTGCATAGCGCAGCGCTCCCACTTCAAGCAGTGGGCCGCATGTTTGTGCACCGCAAAGCAGTGGCTCGCATGCTCGTGCATTTGTCGAATACTCGCAGTTAGTGAATCGCATGCTCGTACATCGTGAAGCAGTGCCTCAAACGTTCGTGCAACACGAAACAATGTGCTCGTGCAACTGCAAACCGTCTCTATGTTGATTGCAACTGCGTTGATTGCGAACCACAGTGCAAACCACCAACCCCTCACCCCACCCCCACCCCCCAACCCAACACGCACTCCCGCCACCGGAACCCCGAAACAATCAGGAAGACACAGTGGTGCCCCCAAAATGGCATCGTGTCCGAAACCCTGTGAATTCCTGTCAGAAATCGGAGGCGGCCCTCCTAGTAACGGAACCAAAACCAAAGTTTGGGGTCTTCTTGGGGTGTTCCCCATGGTTGTCTGCTTTCGTTTTTGCATGTTTTCCTGAGGATCGGGCGAATGGCATCCAGCACTGTGGCAACGAGATCACGTGCTTGGTTCAGAACCTGCTGCTGAGTGAATTCGAGGCTGTGCCTGCTGTACTCTGGTTGGAGGCAGTTGGAGGTATCCACCCTGGCGTTGGTAGTGAGCTGGTAGGTAAACCCGCAAAATCGCTGGTCTGAGACGAAGACAAAGGATGTAAACCAACGAGAGCGCAAACCAAAACGAAAATGGATGCATCGTTCTTGAATTGAGAAATGACTGCAGATCACACCAAAAAGAACGTGAGAACCATTCAGTCTGAGTTATTCCCCCCCCAATCCCCCCTCCGGCCCCATGCCATCCTCTTTGAACATGACAGAACAACCAGGTTCTTCAAAAAAGCTACCACCAGCAACTCCAGCAACTATATGGCTGTGAGTCAAAACATGTTCCACCAAACTATTGAAGGTTGACATCCCTTAAAGAGGAATCTGTTCATTTTCGGTGGTCAACCAGGCCGCCCGGGTTTTGACCAACAGCCATACGATGCCATATGCCCATTATGGACCTTCTTCCCTCAGGCCCCGACATTCTCTGTGTCGGGAAGAGCGAAAATCTTCTCAGCGCAAAGCCGCATTGCGGCGGCTGCATCCTGGTTTGATACGAGCAACAAATCGGATGTCTCTACCTTGTATGAACTCCAGCAAAGATACACACAGTGGGACCGCGTGCGCACACGCACGCCTCTTTGTTGTGCTAGAGAAACTAATTGAATCTTCTGGAATTCATACACTGCCCTTTGCTCCTTATTGGCATCCGTCACCAATTATACACCCGAATGAACAGCGTGTGCCTCTGCTGCCAGGATCCAAAGGCCCTCCACCGCCTCTGCAGGCAAAGCACCTGCATACCTCAGTGCTCAGACGGGAATTTTGCTGGATTCTCCCATGCGAGGCTGCAAGGCTTAGGATCATCCCACTTGTATATATATATATACATATATATATATATATATATCAAAAAACCTTATTTGGCCAGTTGCATGTGCAAAGTTTTAATTGGAACAAGCAGCAGAATAACTACCTTCTCACTTAAAGCTAGGTGTCACACCGAAATCAGAGTCGATCAAACAGTAAGGCACTTGTTTCTAATAGCTTCTTGTTTCTACTAGTAAGGCACTTGTTACTACTAGCGATGCACCTGTTATATACTAGTAGCTTCCTACCCCCCCAATGGGAGCTCAGTGCTGAAATAATTCGGGCCCTTCCCTCCCAGCTTTGCCCCCGCACCTCTGCAAGACAGACACCACTGCAGGTCTGGACCTGAATGGTGCAGGCGCATGCAGGTGCTAAATTCACAAGTTCTTGGGAATAGATCTTTTGAAACCTCGTAGATTGTTGTAAATTTGTAAATATTTGCAAACAAGCAAGCCACTGTTTGAACTGAGATGAAAAGTGGCCAACAAAGGCAAGTCAAGAACAATAATGATGCAAGTCTATGGTAATGTCATGTAACATTTAATAAATAAGGCACCCCTGGGATTCCAACGCATCCTTAGTGCACCTCCCCACATCGATCTGAGCAAGTCAAAGCCAGTCAGCAGAATCAACCGGATGTGAATTCTGAGTTTGGCTCTGGTGGCACAACCGGAAATGCATGAAGAATCATCAGTTACACAGGACGCAAGATCCATATATTACACAACAGCAGTTTAGGGATCTAATTAGGGAACACAAATCGGAATGATCTTGAAGCGAAGGCCTTGGAGAAAATGCTCGGGCAGCGTTCCTGCATTCCCAAAATTCCGTTTGATTCCGTGATTGGTGCATGGCATTGCAACCCTTGATGATCCTTGATGTATAGAGCTTAGCCTTTGAGTTTCTTTACATCTGTCACTGATGAGTAGAGTGCAACACATCTTCTGACGTCAACAACTCTTGAAACTCAAAACTGCCCTGCATGAACACACTAAAGCCAAAGCTGCTGCACATCTTTTGACTGAAAACGATGCATGGCATTGCACTGTACACGGGTTGCTACGACAATTCAACCGCAACCCATCTTTGTGGGACTCGGCAACAAGAGTTTAGAAGCAACCAAACAATCGATGTAGAGTTGCGCTTTCCTCATGCCAGCATCAGGCTGGTTCCTCGACAGTGCCATGCTCCTGACCAACTGGCCATTCAATGCCCAACTTCACAGCCTCTTCGATCAACTCCGTTAGAAATTGCGAGGCATCACTCCTGACCTTGGCTTCAAGGGCCAATTGTTGAAGACTTGTGCTCCGTGCACTGGGCTACTTTGCTTCATCAGCTAGCTTGGCACCGTGCGTTCTTCCAACGAACAACTACACAAAACTACAAGGTTTCTCAGAGAAGGGCCAGCGGGCCATTCATGCGGTCTCTTTGTCCGGTGGGGGGAAGTCCAAACGAACGCACCGACGACAAACTGCTGTTGGTTGGACCCAAGTTACTTGCCCTGAGTGTAGCTTGGACAGTTGGTGGGAAAGCCCTACCCGCCAGCGTAGGGCTTGCGAAGGAAAGGACTCCATGTGCACCTCAACACCACCCGAGCCTTGCTGCGTTGGATAGAAGCCACCTTGGATCATTGTTTTGAGGATTGCCAGGAGGTTGCGCGATTGGATTGACAAACTTTCCACACAACTGGCGACATGGCAATGTCAAGCGCGGTGGGGGGGTCAAACAAATAGATGTCTTTTTTCAAGTAGACAACGTATGTTTGCTCTAAAGTGAGGGTAGGCCATGAGAGGAGCTAGGTAGTAACCTGAGTACTAGCGAGATAATATTAAGTTCTAGCGAGGGCGCAGTGGAGCTCAGGTTCTTCAAGGCGAGAGAAGGTTCTCCACGAAGATTAATCTTGAATCTGGTTCCAAACAAATAACACGTTTCCATACAGCTCCTGGATTTTGTAACTTCATGATCTTCATGTTCACAAATGTAGGCTGTATGATGTCTGACTTTGTCTTCGCCTCCTTGGGTCGAGGGACAGGTGACCGGGTCCCGCCAGGTCTCTGGATGAGACATAACATAGTTCCTGGTCGCGGAAACCACTCGATCCACTGGATCCGAGGGCCTGTGGCCCCCAAAGGTTCTCTTCCCTCTTCCAAAGTTCCTAGTAGCTTCTGGTTACAGTAGCGATGCCCTTGTTATATACTAGTAGCTAAGACATAATTAAAAAAAAAAATATATAAAAGAAACCTCCTGGTTAATCCGAGCCTGCAAGACTCGGAAAATTGCACAAATTAAAGTATTATTGGTGGCCAGTTTCCCCCTGAATCACTTAGTTGGGCACTAGAACCCCCCTGTTGATCCGAGCCACACAACCAGGTCATGTTTACTACAACGGCGACTATCAAGCGGCAAAGTAGACTATCAAGCAGCAAACCTGTCAATCTTGAGACGAGGAAGAGGTTGAAGATGAATTTGCACTACTACTACTACTACTACTACTCTTACTACTTACTACTTACTACTTACTACCTACTACTTACTACTTACTACCTACTACTTTCTACTTACTACATACTACTTACTACTTACTACTACTACTTACTACTTACTACTTACTACCTACTACTACTACTACTACTACTACTACCACTACCACTACCACTACCACAACAACAACAACAACTACTACTACTACTACTACTACTACTACTACTACTTGCTACTTGCTACTTGCTACTTGCTACTTACTACTTACTACTTACTACTTACTACTTACTACTACTACTACTGCTGCTACTACTACTGCTACTACTACTACTACGACTACTACCACTACTACCACCTACTACCACCTACTACCACCTACTACCACCTACTACCACCTGCTACCACTTACTTCCACTTACTACCACTTACTACCACTTACTACCACTTACTACCAACCACCACCACGACCACCACCACGACCACCACCACGACCACTACCACTATCGCCACGACCACCACCATGACCACTACTACTATCTACTACTACCACTACCACTACCACTACGACTACGACTACTGCTGCTGCTGCTGCTGCTACTGCTACTGCTACTGCTACTACTACTACTACTGCTACTACTACTACTGCTACTACTACTGCTGCTCCCTTCTTAGCCGATGATTCAAAGGGGTGCAGCAAGTCTAATCAATCGCCCAGTGGACTCAAGCAGGTCTGTCCTGGCTGCCACTGTCAGCGCTTTGAAGATCTCCTTTCGTGCAAATGTCCTTATGGAGCGACAGTCCATGCCACACGACCCAGTGCCACAGTGTCACACGAAAAACTGAGCTTGACATTTTTTAAGATTCAATTACACCAGCATAGACCCAGATAGCTAGGCAGAATCCCACGACCTGTTGACATGCGACTGGCTGGAACAAGAATGTACGCAGCCTGCGCAGCCAGCTTACGACACCTCGCACAATCAGCTGACACCAGCGCCCGACCAGCGCCGCCGCCCGTCTTAAACGCGCGCTCAGCCAGCTCACAGCACCAGCACCCAGGACCACAACACCAGCACCAGCACCGACACCCTTTTGAAAGCGCGCGCAGCCAGCTCATTCTTATTTGCAACAACAACCCCATAGCTATCCCTACTTGGGGAATAACAACGTATGATCTTGCGCGTATAAGTTTATGCGCACAAAAGTACGGGCGCGAACAGCAAAGCCCGTAAGTGTCATTGGCCCAACGACCTGCAGAACGATAAGGCCGTATGATCTTGCGCGTATAGGTTTATGCGCTTCACTCGCCCAAGGCCAAGCAGTATCCAGCACGACTATTGTGTGTGTGTAGCGTGCTGAAACATGCTGGTACAATGGTCGGTTGAGAGCCTGACGCATAGAACATTATACGTACAAAAGCATGCGCGCAAACAGTACAGCCCTTGACACAGCTGTCGGCCAAAACAGAACCTGAAGGGTGTAATCACCCCACAGCGCTAATAGACAAAGAACGCTCAAGCGACAACACCGTATGATGTTTCGTGCGCAAGTTCATGCGGCCCATGACTGCACCGGCGCGCCAGCTTACGGCGCCCAGCACCAGCACCCAGCACCGGTGTAGCACCAAGCACAGCACCGGCGCCCAGTCACCACCACGCACACTGCCAGCTCACAGCACCGGCACCGGCGCCCGCTGTCTCTACCATGCGCACTGCCAGCACCCAGCACCGGCACCGTGTCTCCACCACGCGCGCAGCCAGCTCACCCAGCACCACAGCCCGCACCAGCACCCGGCACCGGCACCCTGTTTCCACCGCCCACCAGCACCGGCAACCTGTCTCGAAAGCGCGCGCAGGCAGCTCATTGTTATTTGAAGTAAGAATCCCATAGCTTCGCTATCTGGGCAAAAAGGATCCCCACATATATGCAAGCTACACCACCAGCACCAGCACCGGCGCCCAGCACCAGCACCAGCAGCACCGGCACCCGGCACCAGCACCAGCAGCACCGGCACCCGGCACCAGCACCAGCAACCTGTCTCCACCACGTGCACAGCTAGCTCATAGCACCAGCACCAGCACCGGCACCCGGCACCCAGCGCCAGCACCGGCGCCCGACACCAGCACCAGCAACCTGTCTCCACCACGCGCACAGCCAGCTCACGGCACCAGCACCAGCAACCTGCCTCCACCACGTGCACAGCCAGCTCAGCACCAGCACCAGCGCCGGCGCCCAGCACCACCACCAGCACCAGCAACCTGGCTCCACCACGTGCACAGCCACCGCACCCGACACCCAGCACCAGCAACCGGTCTCCACCACGTGCACAGCACCAGCACCAGCACGGCACCAGCACCGGCACCAGCACCGGCACCCGGCAACAGCACCAGCAACCTGTCTCCACCACGTGCAGCCAGCTCACAGCACCATGCACCGGCACCTGGCACCCAGCACCAGCACCGGCACCCGGCACCAGCGCCATCAACCTGTCTCCACCACGTGCACAGCCAACTCACAGCACCAGCACCAGCACCAGCACCCGGCACCACCACCAGCAACCTGTCTCCACCACGTGCACAGCCAGCTCACAGCACCAGCACCGACACCCAGCACCAGCAACCTGTCTCGAAAGCGCGCACGGGCAACTCACTATTATCTGAAGTAAGAACCCCATAGCTTCGCTATCTGGGGAAAAAGGCTGCTATTCTCATCTAGATCGAACAAATCGAATTTGCATATAAGATGGTTCCAAACAAGGCAAAGGAAAGAAGTTGCGCGACACCTATTTGAAGTGTTTTGGTCCTGGTATTATTTGGTAATATTTGGTATGTAAAGCACTACCTGGACGCAGGCTTGCCAGATCTGGACGCTCCCAACCTCAAAACCGGAGACCTTCTAGCCTCAAAAAGGAACAGCTCAACAAACGCACAGCGTCAAGGGAATCATCAGGGTGATGGCCACATAGGCGGGCCCAGAGCGGCGGAGGTTGATGATCCCATCGCCAGCATACAAGGCTGCATTGCGAATGTAGATCTCCTCCAAGTCAAGTGAAAAAAGCTGCGAAGCAAAGCATGCCAATAAAGGATTGAATATCTGCTCATATCTGCAAATGGAGCGGCTCACACTGCCACACACACACATTGAAATACTGAGCTATAGCCAAAAGTGTCTCGATGACAAAACTTGGCAACTCGGAAACCTATATAAGCCATTATAAGCTATCCCAATTTGTTGAAAACACACCTAGTCGATAAGCACTTCATAGAAGAGTTTCGATTGGGTACCGAAGGTGTCTGCTACCTGCAGTATACCCCGAAACTGCAGAAGCTTTCAACGGTTCACTTGCCAGTGTCCTCATCATAGACGTCCCGGAAAACAGTGTTCAGCAGCTTGATATGTGCCACAGTGAGGATCTGTCCTGAAAAGTTGACTGGAACAGCCAGAGAGTCATCCGGAAGGCTCTGAGAAGGTTAGCGTGTCCCACCTGAAAATAGTCATTGTGGTTGTGGTTGCTAGTAGCTTCTTGTTACTGGTAGTAATGCATTTGTTACTAGTAGCGATGCACTTGTTACTAGTAGGTTCTTGTGGTATGGCCCGATCCGACAGATCCAATGAACTACTTCTATCACTTCTGCTTCTGAACTTCCTATGAACCCTCAAGCTCGATGCCTCAGGATGCAACATACAAAAGGTACCTTCAACTTGGACTTACTGCCTTGCAGACTCAACCAGTCCCAAACCGCCCTATCCGGCGCCGCACTTGCAAAGGCATTTAGTCAACCAACTACATGGGAAAGTGATTTTGCTAAGTACAAACACAGTGTAACAAGTTCTATTGTTCCCTTGGTGGCCGAGGCTATATCATATCGTACTATACATTTGCTAGCTGCTAAACACCGTAAATATTTTGGCTCATGGACCGATGGACACTTGGTCGCTGAACAAAGAAACTTGTTCCTCTCACGCATGGCAGTGGCTGGCCAACCGCTGAGCCAAGCAACCACGAAAAACAATGCGGTCCCCAGTGTCGAAGGGGCACACATGGAGCAGCAAAACCAGTGACTGCATCACGTCCAGCAATACAGGTCCCCATGCGAATGAAACAGCAAGCAGCACCTCAAGCTGGGGCTCGGCAACTCATTTGTACCAACCCCAACCTCGCATGAATTGCCTCAAAAAAATCCTTGAATCCTCGAGTCACGACAAACTATATAGTGGCCATGCTGCACAGGTGGTACATATGGCCTAAATCTTGACTGCCTAGAACAACCTTGAAAATGCAAAAAGTACAAAGAAATGACCTTGTTGCCTTCCGTCATTGACAGCGAACTTCAGAGGACAAGACGCAGAGGAAATTAGCCAGGACAGCGTCTGCATCAAGGATGTCGGAGCAAAGCGACCGAGGGCGGCCATGGAGACCAACAGCACTCGACAGAGGCGCAGCACACTGCAAAAAAGCCTCAGTTTGGGAGTGTCACGGGCCCGAAGGGCCGCTGTGGGATAACCCGAGACAAGTGCTGCTTGCAAAAGGCTGGCCGTTGAAATGGAAACACAAGTCATACTCGGGTGGTCTTTGGAAACACAAGCAAGTGGTGTGGCAACAGGGTCACTCGAAGTTACGAGAGATCGGTTGTCCGCGGCCCTCGCTTCGTAGAAGTCGTAGAAGACTACAGCGCCGCCTCTTCTCTCTCATTTGACTATTATCGATATAGAAACTACACTATGCATCACTCGTTGCCCACCTTCCATGTGAGGAGGAATAGTAACAGGCAAATGCAAAACAACAATGTTGCATCACTTTGCCAACCACAGTAAAGTGAAAAATGGCTGAAGGTTGCTATATACTTCATATATATAAGTTATAAATCTATTTGTCCTTTCTTTTTGTGGTGGGCATAAGGCATAATTAAGTCACACGACTCCGACTCCAGAGTCTTTGAAAATCACCGTCCAAGCAGCGCAAAAATCGCTGAGTGCTCCCCTACGTTTGACACCAATCGTGCAGCATCCTTGTATGTGGAGACCACCAGCTGCACAAAAGCATCCTGTCCAGTCTCAGGAAAGAAACCCATGAGCCCACTCCAAATAAGTCAAAGGCACTGGTCTAGAGTCTAGTGTGCTTCCTTACAAAAGTCTCTCCAAAACCAAGGTTCCAAGCTACTCTTACCGGAACAAAAGAAATACATCATCTGCTGCTGAAACTGAATGAACATGAGTCAAAACTACAGTGTTTTACAGCGCTTGTTGTGCAAAAAAAAACACCTCCAAGACCAGTCCTGGAGGGATGGCAAAACCAACAACTAAACTTAACTAAACAATTATTGCGTTCGAACAAAAAAGGGTATGCCGCAAAGCCGATTGAGACAGAATACAGCCTCAACCGAAACTTTGTCACTTGTGTTTCGGATTGCTTTTAGCCCTTGGCCTATTTTGTCCAAAACATCTGTTTGGGCCTTGTGTGGTTTCTGGCTTGTTTTACTCTGGGTCTTCTCGCGCGTTTCTTCGCATGTTCTATTGCAGAAAGTCTGCTATACAATGGCGTAAGTACTCGATACAGAACCGTCGTACAAACCCTTGTCATGCATGTAGGCGTGTGAATGCCAAAACAAGACTTAGAAGAGCAGAACGAAGAATCCAAAAGTCATCAGTCACCAATCTCTTCCTTTCTCAAGTCTAGTCCTTTTAGAAAGTGTTGCCAGTGTTCCATTGAAGAGGTATCCTCCTTCAACAAACCTACCCTACTCCTTTGTGAATGCCTCATCCTGTATTGCAGTGTTGTCGCCCTGTGTAAGGGCATCATCCTTGGTGAAATATCTCTTCTTTTAAAGTTAAAAGTCTGACATTTGTGAAATTGATTCTCCCCCCTGTGCAAAAGACAGCTTCCTTTGCAAGGCATCATCTTTGTAGAAAGTTGAATTGAGAAGCTCAATTTGTTGTCACTTTATTTGAAGGCTCTCATCATCTGCAACTCTATTCTATTCGCTTTTAAGTCTCTTCCCAAATCTCCTATGACAACATGCTGCTAACGTAGCAATACGTATTTCACGTACTTCACGGCCCTTCACGGCCCTCAAACGTAGGTAAATATACATGTCTGATATCTGTAGCGGCTATAGACTTTTAAAGACACGTCTTCTTTGGAATGTCTCAAAAACATTCAAAAATTAATATATATATATAGTCTCTTTCTAAAGGCCGTTTGTTAAATAGTGTCTCAGTTGTTTAACCCTTCTCTGTCAAGTCACATCCCTTTAAGGCCCTCATTCATTGCATCCTTCTCTTCAAAAGCCTTTCTCTTTACACACAGTTGTGACCCTTGGTTGAAGCCCATCGACTCGATGAATCTGCCTCGCCCACACTGATCTCTATATGACCGCTCGACTTGGTGTGGGCCAGCTTCCCATGTGATTTCGGTGTGGCCTCCTTGGCAAAGTTCTGGCTGTGGCAACGTCAGTCCCAGGGCAACATTTCGAAGGAGCTCATTGTAACTTGCAGCTTACAACAGCTAGTGGGAGATGCTTCTAGTGATCTTTGGTGGCCTCAAGAAAGGAGAACTCTTATGAGGTAAAACAAGTTTAAGTTCTCCAAAGACCTGGGAACCAAAACAATCATATGGAAGGGTTCTTCTTCTGCGTCCTCTACGCGTAGCAGCTTACCTGGCTTACCTTCTCTCTTACCTTCTCTTGCCGACCTCTGCCCCACTCAAGAGTCGTTGCAGACTTGCTGCGTCCAGTGGGGCCGTGTTGGCGCGAGACAGCGCTCGATGTGGCCGTGGCTTTTTGAAATTGGCCTGAGGGCCGTGGCTTGGAGCTCGAAAAGCAGCTAGGAACAAAGGGCATCGCTACTAGTAGCAAGAAGCTACTAGTAACAAAGGGCATCGCTATTAGCAGCAAGAACGCTACTAGTAGCTGTGACTCCATTCTTACAGTATCTATCAGTATGTATCCGTTGCTCTTGGAACCAAAAATGCCAAGAATGTCGCTTCACATTGTCATGCGAGTGCCTGTGCACCTCTCAGAGATCCATCAACACCAGGAACTTCTGGCCGCTGTCACACTAGCTGCACTAGCTCATTCAACTGATTCCCTGGAAAGGTCCGAATGTCAATTGACTTCTAGATTTGGAAAGACTTATCATTGTGAGGATGATCATACCGTTTATGCTAGTGATGGAATTGCTATGCGGCCAAAGACATGTCAAGTCAAGTCGTTAATTACTGTGTTTGGATGTGGACCACCATGCAAGACATTTGTATTTATTGGCAATTCTGCCGAGCTGCTGGTACATCCAGTGCTTCCAGGAGCTGCCAGAATCTTTCACTCTCCTTGGTGCTGCAAAGACTGGAGCCTTGTACTTGCCGCAACACCAGAGTCCTTACCGGGTTACACAAAGCACCCCCAAAAACAACAGTTCTCCTTTCATTTATGAGGTCTTCTGGCAGCAAATACACAGGCAAACCCCTCAGTCATGAAATGTATATAGATGCGGAGTTGCCAATGTTGGAGTGGTGGTCATTGTCCCAGCCATACTGGAAATTTGGATACATTTAGTCTCCTTTGCTGCACAAAACGACACCAACGCTCCCTCTGGGCCAAAAACGGACAATCCCGGCAAGAATCTGTCGCATCTTGCAGCTTGGAGCACAACCTTGCAAGATAAACAGGCATGTTCTACAAGAACCATCAAGAACCCTCAAGGTTTATTAGTCCGGTTGCCAAAAACTCAAACTCATGGCTTAAAACAATCACCAGAAGGTACATCTCTGCAAACTGAGGCGAGCGCGTCGCGTAGCTCAAGCGCCCTTCTGGCACCAGACGTTTGAAGAGAGCTGCGGCACCCTTGGCTACCATCCTGCAGCCACGGCTGTTCTATATTGATGGTGGTTAGAAGTTGGTTATTCAACTATCTATATCACTATATTGTGTGTGATGATGCTTGTATCACTTAAGAGTCCGGATGTCAATGCGCCATGTACAAGATTCAACTGAGTTCTGATAATGCTGATAATGTCTGATATGTGTTTTCCCGAATGCGTAGCAAAGGGTTCTTGTTTAACTCTGGGGGCCCGGGGGTCTGGGGGTAGAGCCTTGTTCACGACCCGTTGTCTCAGCGTTCGCAACCGTCCCCAACCGACCGCCCCGTCCGCAGCAGAGCGCTAAGGCCACTGCCATTGGGGGAAGCTTTTGGAGAGGGTTTCGGATGGAAACGTGACGTGTCAGATTCGTGCGAAATAGCGTGGAAACGTATGGATACGTAAGATGTTGAAGTGTGCATGGAGGATGATTTCACTGCGCAGGCGCAGCGTTTTGTGAGATGGGCAGTTTTCTGCGCAGTCACATTGGGATTGGCGTTTGGAGAGTGGTGTTTTTGGGGTGTTGGATGTGGCTTTGACGTTGGGGTTTGCGTTTCAGGGCGTTGCGTCGAAGCTCTGTTTTCGTGACAAGTCTCAGCTGAAATGGCGGTACGGGTGGAAATCATTCCAAACGTGTGGTGTGGTGCACATTTTGTTGAAGCTCGCAGAACTTTGTCCCGGGTTTGAGGTATGGAAGCGCGATTTTCGCGGCAGGCGCAGGGAATCGTGAAGTTGCGAGGTGTGACGGAGGTGACATTTCGTGGCAGGAGCAGTACTTTGGGCGCGTTAGACGTGTGGACGCGGAAAGCTTCGTGGCAGGCGCAGGGAATCGTGAGGTTGTGAGTTGCGGTGGAAGTAAATGTCGCCCCGACATTGGGATTGGCGTGCGCGCGGGTGTTGTTTGGAGGGGCTGGAATCGCGCAACTGCTTCGCAGGGCTGCTTGATGTGTGTGTGTGTCAAACCCCGTTTCCAGGGGCACTACTCTCTACTAATTCTCCTTCCTTTCATTGTCAATGTACAGTTTGCAACAGCAGGGGGCCCATGGGCACATGGATGGCATGGGCCAACGAAGACCCATCCATGTTGCCGTGAAAACGTACCTGCACAACTTTTTTTGACATATTTTAAAGAGCTACTTTGAAGCTGCTGGTTTTGCTAATGTGTTACACATGTTACAACCATTGCTAAGTGTTTCATAAGGACTTACAAGACAGTTATAACTATTTATAACTACTTATAAGTGTCATAACACTATTATAACATGTCTATTTGTTAACAACATTATCTATTTCTTTTTAACTGTTATGTTAACATCTGTAACAAACATAAAAAATTATACGAGTTAGTAAACATTTAGCTTTTTTGATTTGTCTTGTTATGGCAATTGTGCAACGTTGTAAAACAATTTTTCAAGGACTGTTTTTCAAATATGTAGGATGTTTTTTTTTGAAACTTGTGTTGCCTTTGTTTGATGTATACCTTTGTGTTGCGCACAGCATATGAATGCTCAACTTGAAGAAACAGCTTGTACAAGCTTGAGGCTGCTTGTTGCCAGTATAGGCTCACTTTGGGTTGCCAGCCACTGCAGGCTCAATTTGCAACTAACTTTGTGTAATTGTTGTATAAGCTTGCTCACCATATCAGGGTCATGGCACAAGCTGAAGGCATTTTGCCACATGTGCTATGAACCAGCAGAACAAGTGTGCATGAAAACATGGAAGGGCAATGTTGGACAATGCATGGGCCATGTGTGCAAAATTTGCATGCCACTTGGAAAGTGATTTACTTGCTTGCCCATGTCGCTCCCATGGGTGGATGAGTTGAAGAAGATCATCAAAGATGAGGAGATGCAGATTAACCAGAAAGCCTCAAGAGCTATGAATGTGCTCAAGAGTGCAGGCTTGGCTTACAATGCCAAGCTGAGGCCCAATCAGATCCTGGTTCATGTTGCCAACCGGGGTGGTCAAATGGTTAACCCCCATGATGTGGTAGCCAAAGGCCAGCAGATCTCAGCTGTTGGATGGGACTTGAACAAGGTTCGGCAATCTGTGGCAATTGAACTGCCTCATGATGGGGACAAGAGAAGTGCAGTGATTGCAGCAAATGAAAAACTGGCTGACCAAAGCTCAGGCATGTTGGCAAGACCTTTTGGAGAAGAGCGGTATTGCAGCCTGAGTTCTTCCCACTTGACAGCATTCCTGAGGTGCTTGGAAAGTGGCTGCAGGATGGGCAATGACCAGCTGTCCATGGAGCAGCTCATGGCACAAGGAGGCGACCTACAGGAGATGGTGCAAAGTGGATGGCAGTGGACAATTATTTCAGCCAAGGCTGAGGAAGAGTGTCCATCTCTTCCTGGTTTGCTTCAGCAGGCCTACAACAGCCACTTGGTTGGTAAGTGCATTTTTATGAAAACCTCCTTGCTGTGGCCACCAAAGCAATGTGACCATGTGTGGAGTTCTCAATGTATGCATGGCACCATCCACAGGTGACCATGGTATTGTGAAGCCTCCTACAGAATTGGAGGTTGCCATGACCATTGCGCAGCACTATGAGCTACAAGCTCCTGGGCAGAAAGACTTGGACAAAGCTGTGCAGCAGGCAGCCTCCAGCTTTCCACCTTGCAAGGCCTACATCAAATGCATTGGTGACTTTGTTTCCAGGTTTGCTGGAGGAGAGAGCTTCAAGCTGCTGAAATATCTTGATTTCATTTGCTTCTCTGCTGCACATGCAGGTCTATAGCCCATTTCAGGCAAAGTTGGTTAGCTTCTACAAGCTTGGTTAGCTTCTACAAGCTTGGTTAACATGAAAAGCTATTACAAGCTTGCTGCATGTTGGTTGGAGGTGCTCATTGAAACTTGCACCCCTTGCATCCAAGGCAAGCAATATGGTGGCTCCAACATGCTGGGTGAAGAATTCTGTTCTGCAGTTGCCTACACAGATTGGAAGCTTAGTGGCACCACCCTACCCTTCTTGAGGGTGGCCTTATGTGCAGTGCAGATTACAGCGCCCCAGCAACAGGTGAGAAATTCAATTTCAAAAATGATCAGCAAAGCTGACATCGACAAGTTGAAGACCAAAAAGATCTGCACTGATGTGCAGACTGCAGAAGCTTTGATGGCCAGTGCCTGGGAAGCTACAGAGACCACTGGAGTGCCTCTGGAGCAATTTGCTTTGGCATTTGGCAAGATGCAAATCAGACTGATTTTGCATTTGCTTGGCAAGGAAATGAAGGGCAGGGAGCAAGTCCAGTATGACAGCATGACAGACATCAAGGACAAATTTGAAGCCGATATGCTGCAAACTTCTCACAGTGGCAAAAAGGATGCCAAACCAACAGCAGAGGCTGCATCGGTGAAGTCCTTGGCTGATGCTTCCAATCCAAGGAGCATAGCTCTTGACGTGCACCAGCACATCAAGATTGGCAAGCACTATGTTGCTTGCAAGGAAAGCATGTCCAAGGTTTGGCAGCTTGTGGATGTAATCTTGGTCCACAAGCCCTACTTCACTGGTGAAGAGCGCAAGGAAGTGAAGCTCTCTGAGTTGAAGACCTTGAAGGAATGGTCTAAGCCAGTGCCAATGCTTGTTGATGATTCAGTCAGGGCATCATTGCTTCCCAGTGCTTCAGCAACTTTGAAGTCTGAGCTGCTCAAGGCAAAGGCCCAAACTTCTCTGTATGAGAAATACTTTGAGTTTCTAGGCAAAGCCTTCTCACAGTTTTGATCTTTGGTTTCAAGGTCCAAGAGAAGTGTTCCTGACTATATAGTCTTCTCTGCTGGTTGCTGTCTTCACAAACTCAGGCTTGGCGATCCACAGGTGCTAGTCAGCACTATGCATGAGCTGTTTTCAGGATGCAAGTACAGCAAGGGCAAGCTGGTATTGCTTCCACTAGGTACCCTACAGCTGATGCCTGTTGAGAAGATTACAAAAAACCAGTGCACCATCAAAATTGCTCATGTAAAGGACCAAGTCTTTGTTGTGCAACCTTGGCGGGTTGACTTTGTCAAGGAGAGTGGCATGTTCAGCCCATATTGGCTGATGAAGGAGGCTGCTGAGATGGATGATGCATGCATGACCAAGCAAGTTTTGAAGATTGATGAGATTCTTGTCACAGCCTATGTGAACAAGAAGGTGGTTGAGAAAGGCACACCCTTGCTGATGGAGCCATCAGAGACCGATTCATCTAAGAAAAGGAAGACTGTCAAGAAGTGAACAGTCACCTGACCATGGTGTGAAAAAAAGGCTAAGTTGAACCAGCTTGCGCAAGCTTTCCCACTAACTAGAAGCAGCTTGCGCAAGCTTTCCCATTGCCTTTGCAGGCTATTTGTTGTGTTGTGAACCTTTTGTGGAATCAGCTTATACAAGCTTTCTCAGAAGCCATTGCAGGCTGTTTTGGTTTTGTTGTAGTTTGTGCCCTGAAGCCAAACAAGGTGCATGATAGGTTTTGGCTTCCAGCTTGTTTGTGTGTGCTGCTGCTATGGAAATTTATGAGACTGTGGTTCTGAGGTACAGGAATGGCCCCAAGATCACTGTGCCACCTGGTCTGCTTCAAGCTGACCCAGATGGAAAGAGATGGCTGAGATTGAGGGCCAGCAATGTCAACATTGCTAGGCTTGTTTTGGGCCACCTGGAAGCTGCCAAGAAGGCTCCAAACCCTAGTCTGGCAGCAAGCCCTCAGCTGAAGAGCATCCAGGACAAGATCAAAGAAGCTGTTCTGACCAAGCAGGAGGAGGACAATATTGAAGAACATGGAGCAAACCCATTTGATGATGGTGCAGAAGGGACACAATGTGTTGAACAAAGTGGCAAGACCTTGAGGCAAGCTTTGAAGAAGGCCCCAAGCACAGTGTCAATCCAGCTTGGAAGCTCATTAGTGGAGCTGAAGAGACCCCATACTTGGAAAGAGAGTGACATAGTGATTCCTTTGGAATCTTCTGCGTTGAAAGCAGTCCTTGATTACATAATGCTGGATGTGGATGACTGCATCAAGACTGAAAAGAA